TTTCTTCTTACATTTATTTTTATTGTATTATTTATTTTTATTGCCATCAATTAATTTATTTTTTCTACAAAATATAAAAACATTAAAAATATAGAAAAGACAAAAAATGTAATTTTTATTTTTTTTTTATTGCCATGAATAAATTAGAATAAATTGTTTAGTTAATTAGGTTATAGCCTTAATCTTTTTTAATAAAAATCCAAAAATAGAATTTAGGTTAATTACTTATTATTTTCTTTTATTAATTTTAATTTTCTTTCAGAATAACAATAGTATTTATTTATTACTTTATTTTCATAAGTTAAAATTGTACAAATTAATTTAAAATTTAATTTAGGTTTAATTTGAATCTTTCATAATAAATACAAAAGCACTAGAATTAGGGTTTGCTTCTTAATTTAATTTTTATTAACTCCTTTTTCTTTTAAATCTTAGAAAAATACAAAATATCAAAAAACATTTAATTTCCTTTTTTATTATCATTTAATTCTCATTAACCTTTAATTATTTGCAAAAAGGGTCCAACGCCCGTCATTAATCATTTAAATTGCGCATTTATTTTATTATCGTTCATATAATTTTGTAAATATCCCAAAGCCATGTAATTTACTTTTCGCACTTTATTTCTTCGCATTATTTATTTTTTCCGCTAAATCGGGTCCGGTTTAATTTTGGCGATGTGGACCCGCGCCTTTGTAATAATCTTAGATTTATTTCCTCGCAAAATATTAACTGTTAACCAAGCATGAAAGAATGAATGTCTTAATAAAATCAAGCGTAGAACACAACATATATGACAAGACAAATAACTGAAACATGACACACAATTCGCACACACCACCCCTAGGGTACGCCTCACTGTTGCCTTGCCTCGAAAGGTGATCGTCGAGTAGAGGATGTCTTAGTAAGTCCTCATGATCCGGGAACCTGGCATGAGGGTAGCTTCTAAGGTGTCTTCCCATTGCTCCGGTGATCACCATGTCCCGAACTTCGAATTGACCCGAACACCTCCAACAGTGGTGCTACCTACCTCTCAATGGTGGGATGGCACTACTTTTAAGGACATCTACCCAGACGAATTCCTTAGGGTAGGTAGGTTCTCAAGGATACTTGCTCTAATCTTAAAAACAAAACAAAACTCTTTTCACACCACACATTTTCAAAAGCTTTCAAAACAAACTTTTCAAACACTCTGACGTATGAGTCGATCTGAAATTTTTCAAAGAAACTTTTAAACCCACATTGAAAAGCACGCAAAACAATTTTGAAAACACGTTGAGCAAGTATCTAAGAGCCCATGGATAACCATGGATAGAAAGGGTGCTAACACCTTCCCTTTCTATAACCTACCTCCCGAACCGAGAGCAATCTCTTAAAAGGGATTTTTCTGTGCTTTTGTCCTTTCCATTTGGAGAAAATAAAAGACGGTGGCGACTCTTGCTTACCGCGACATTTCGCGAACCAGCGTTAAACAGTCAGTTCCAGATCCACCGATCACACCTATGTTTTCATGTGTCGACACATGACCTGATATAAGTTGACACATGTGTCAATATGTTTCGAAAAATGACTTATATGTGGCGACACATGTAGGTTTTCTGAAAAATTGCATTCTTTTTCATTTTCAAAAATTCCTTTTTTGCCACCAACTTGCCTACTTATAAATACTTCATACATGCATCATTTCCAATTTGATGAAAATATAAACACATACAAAAATTGCTCTTCATCTTCAACCTCCAATTTATGCATACACACAAACAAACTACACATAATCATTTTTTGTTTGGGTTCCATCTAGACGAGTGTTAATAACGTCCAATTTAGTTTGGTATACCTACAAATTGGGTTGATAATTTTTGAGGGTTTAATTGGGAAAAACCTTAGGGTTTATCCTCCAATATCATATTGTTTATTTGGGGGTTTGCACAAGATTCCTCAAATATTAGATTCGATCGAGTGAAAGCTTTGAAGATTGGGATATCTTGCAAAGGAGTAGCATGAGACGATGAATCGTTTGGAAATCTTGGGACAATGTAATGCGTAATTAGATTCGATCGAGTGAAAGCTTTGAAGATTGGTATATCTTGTAAATGAGTAGCATGAGACGGTGAATCAATTAGTGCAAGCAGGATACTTGGTTGAGCTCAAGATCAAGGAAGAGAAAGGGTTAGAATAAACATCAAACATTAGGTTTATAGGGTTGTATTGTTACATTTCTCTTGTGAACGACTTTTTACAAAGTAAAATTCATTACCTCAATTCTAAACAGACTTGGAGGCACACGTAGCCATAGCGAGGACGATTTGTGAACTTCCTAACAAATCCTTGTGCCCTCTCTCTCTTTCTCTCTATCTCTTATTTACTTTCTATAAGCAAATCGTTAAATCCATTGATTGTGTAATCAATTGTATAAAATTATTCTTTGATTTTTGAACTTGAAATTTCTTTGTTGATTACATTATAATCAATTAGATTATACTTGGTATTTTATATCAAGAAACCTACAAAGAAAAATCTGAAAAATCAATTGCACACCACGTGTTCGATAATTTGCTACTTTACGTTTTATCAATAATTTCATTAGAAATAGGTTAACTTTGTGATCTTAGTAAAATAATTAATTGAGAAATTATTGTATTTATCACTTATCATTGTTCTTATTTAAATTGATTTTGCGCATATTCGAGTTTCCAATAACTGGTTCGGTTTAGACAACTTGTTTTATCTAGGAAAAAACACTTCCGCTTAACATAGTTCTTAACTCTTTTTAAAAATAGTAAAATTTTTAAAGGGATTTTTACTTGGGGACCTATCCACCCCCCTAGATAAGTTACCTTCGTCTAACAATAAGGTTCTTCGGCTGGTCTCAAAGTTGAAAACAGAAGCGGGTGTGTGGAACAAGTTTGAAGGTCTGAACAATAACCAAGTCGTTGGTCAATCATCCCTACCTGAAGCCGGCTTTGTATTCATTCAAGATGAATGAATACAAAGTATTAACTAAAAAATTGGATATGTTCAATAAGGTGATTCTTGATCTGAAGAATATTGATGTTAGCATCAATAATGAAGAGTAAGTCTAGCTATTGTTGTGTGCTTTACCAAGATCTCATGCTCATTTTAAATAAACTCGCTTTTATAGAAAAGAGTCACTGACCTTTGAAGAAGTTCAACCGGTCTTGTACTTGAAGGACTTGAACAAAAGGAAGGAGCACAATTCTTCATCTGTTGGTGAATGATTATCTGTAAAAGGAAAATTATCAAAGAAAGATGGTAAGTTTGAGAAGAAGAGGAAGAGTAAAAATCAGCACAAGTCTTATGATGGAAATGCTCTTGCTATTAGGTGTTACCACTGTAAGAAATAAGGTCATACAAGAAAATAATGTACTGAAAGGTTGAAGAGTTATGGTTATTGCAAGGACAATGGAAATGTAGCCACTGTTCAAGATGATTATGAATCATCTGATGTACTTGTTGTTTTGAGCAACAACTCTAGCAAGGAATGGATTGTGGATTCAGGTTGTACTGAGCACATGACTCCAAACAAAGACGTGTTTGATGAATTATGTGATTAAGATGGTGGATCAATGCCGATGAGAAACAACAAAGCCTGCTAAATTGTCGAGACTAGATCTATGAGTTTTAAGCACCATGATGAGTCAATAAAATTGTTGATTAGCGTCAAGTATGTACCTGATCTTAAGGGAAGTTTAATTTCTCTTGGTGAAGTCGACAAGAAAGAATATGTTTTCAAAGGAGAGCAAGGTATCATGAGAGTCATAAGGGGGTCAAATGAAGTTTTGAGAGGCGTCAATAGGCAAGGCTTGTATATCCTTGAGGCTGAGGTTGTAAGTGGTTCAGCAAATCTTGCATCCACAAAACATATGTCAAAGACGAAGCTATGGTACATGAGATTGGGCAATGTCAGTGAAAGGGGCATTGGTAGAACTGGGGAAACAAAATTTGTTGGGTGGTGACAAGGTTGAAAAGTTGGAATTTTGTGAACATTATGTATTTGGAAAAGCTTGCAAAGTGAAGTTCAATAAAGGCAAAAAAAGAACACATGGATCCCTTGATTACATATATGCTGATCTTTGAGGGCCTACAAGAAGTCCTTCACACTCATGTACAAGATATTTCCTATATATAGTTTATGATTATTCACGAAAGTTGTGGGTTTTCACTCGGAAAACTAAGGATAAAACTTTTGAAAATTTCAAAAGTTGGAAGACTCTGGTCGAAAATCAGACTGACAGGAAGGTCAAAAGGTTGAGGATCGACAATGACCTTGAATTACGCAATGAAGCTTTCGACAATTATTGTGATATGTCTGGTATTGGAAGGCACAAGACTGCAACAGGTACTCCTTAACAGAATGATTTGGTTGAGAGGTTTAATCGCACCATCATGTAAAGGGTTAGATGCATGTTAGTCAATGTTGGATTGAAGAAGGTGTTTTGGACTAAGGTTGTCGTAACAGCAGCATATTTGATAAATAGGTGTCTCTCGACTACCTTTGAGATTAAGAGACCTGAAAAAGTTTGGTCGGATTATTCACCTGATGTTGACAAACTTAAAATATTTGGTTGTGTAGCCTACGCTCATATTAACCAATTTATTTCTCTCTCTTCTTCATCTTTCTTCCCTCTCATCTTAAATTAAACGGTTTTTTGTTTGATCAACAAATTTTCTTTTTCTCATTATATTACTTCGATCTTGGCACCGATTATCGCTAACAGATTAAAGATTAATTATAGGGTGTTTCATTTATATTTGAATTCATTAACATAATACTGATTATTATTAATTAGAAACGTTATTTATTCAACTCAACTGCGGTAACTAAAAAATAAATCCTGAATAAAAAATAAAACAATTTAATTATCACTCTTGCCTGTACTAATTAACAACACCATTGGAAAGAATATAAAAAAACACATAGAACATACAATATTATATTATAGAAACTAAGATCAATTTATTGTTATCGTGAGTCTCACTTAAACACTAACAGATTCTTTAGAATCTAATCCAAGATTATCATTGCCATGAGAGTCACTCTCACTATCATCACCAACATTTCCAAAAAGAAGAACAACTATTCCAACAAGTGCAGCAACAAAAGCAGCTCCAAAAGAAGTCTTAATCTGTCCAGGAACAACAGAAGCAACTGTGAAACCCAAACACAAACCAGCAGCTCTAATCCAACCATACCAAACACTGAAAACACCTTCTTTTCCCTTAGGAGCACATTCCAAAACCAAAACTCTTCCAAATGCATGCAAAACTCCACTTCCAATCCCTTGTATCCCTCCAAATATCAATATATGACCCCATTTCCAATGACTGTTCCAAAAGTAGAATCCAAAACCAGATGACAACATTGATAAAAGAAAACCAATGATCTTCATTTTCACAGAACTAGCCTTTATTAGTTGTTGTAAAGGGTGCAAAAGTGGAAGAGAAACCAAAGGGAAAAGGAAATAAGTTAACCAGAAATAAAGCAAGTGTAATGGCCTAATACAAAGGTTACCAACTATGAAAAGAACAGCACCAGTGAAAATACACATTGTTGTGAATGATGATAGGAAAACACCAAAAAGCCCTCCTATTGCTTTTGGATGTTTAACTATAGAACAAGGGTAAAACAATGATTTGTTGAATGAAACAGTGGAAAAAGATGTTCTATTTATAGCTGTAACAGCGTGTAAAACACCAACCAACCATATTAAGCCACTGAAGATTGAAACAATCCAAAGGGTAAAAAGATTTCTATCATCAGGCTCTCTAAGCATATGATATATGAAGGAAGAGATTACACCTGAACCTAAACAACCAAAGGAAGTAGCATATAGAGAGAAGAAACTTGAAACTTTTAGTACTTTGGATTTCTTAGAGGAAGAAAGCATGAGAGCAAGATGGTGAGTGTGAGATGCAGATGAAACTGTGCTAGCTAAGACAATGAAAGCAATATAGGGAATGAAGATTAGGGTTGTTTTGAAGAACCCTGCCGGGAGACAGAAGAAAACTCCAATGCCTGTGGATACTGCTGTGATGAGTGTTTGGTATTGGCTGTTGAGGTGGAAAGAGATGAAGCTGAGAATTGGAATGGCTAGGGTTAAACCCGAAGCCCATGCAATTGATGTCCATTCCAATGATGAGAAGTGTGAACCGTTTACTGTTATTGTTCTCTTTGTGAGAGTGCTGTAACTGCAATAAAATCCAAGTTTGCATGCACAATATTTGTGTTATAAAAGAGTTTGATCCAAATATAATTTAAAAGTTAATAAAAGATTAAGAAAATATGTAGCTCTAAGCAAGGTTTTAAAAAACAACCAGAAACCATGTAAAAGGTCGCGAAAAAACGGTATCATTATTTTCGTGCTAAAGAATAAATTAGGGTTACAACCGTAATCAGTGTCCCAACACTTGTACCGGCCATTATTTAAAACCTTGGTTGTAAGTGTACTTACAGATGAATTTCTTTGTCTGAACATAGCAAGCCCTGGTGATCATTTTGCCACTGTTGAAAAGGATCCGTAGGTAGAATCTGTAACTGACTAATAATCAACGGAAACAGCACAGGTATAAGAACAGTTTGAACAAAGTAAGAACAAAACTCATACAGATACCATCCCCAAACCTCATATCTTGATGGTTTCTCTCCTATCGATCCCTCAAACTCATCACTACTATAACTACTCTCTCTTGGTTTCACCACTTTCTTGGATTTACTATGCAAAACTATTGAAGGTGCCCCAGCATGGTGGTCATTTTCAACTTCAATAGTATTTGTTTGATCCATGGTGGTTAATGTATGAAAAGAAAATGAACAAGAGATAGATATATATTAGAAAGAAAGAATGGTGACAATGGAAGTGCTGTAAACGTGCAAAAACAGCTGGGTTAACGAAACTATCAAGGCTGCAAGTATTGTTATTGTATTTTTCAAAGATTCTTGTAAGGTTATTTTGATCTATGATATTGGTGCTACTGTTCTTTTTTTTGGTCTTATTGTGTATTTATTTATATAAGAGAATTTGCTAGTTATTTTAATATTACGTTGTATATGTTTTAAGCTAAATAACCTGAAAGGTCAGAAATTGATGCATATATGTTGCCGGCGGCAGATTCATTTTCATAATGCCATTGATTCACCCGCCTAGTTGTTCATAAAGTAGTAGAATTTGTAACACCTACTTTTCCATAATAATATTTTATAGCATAATTTATGAAATATATACATATATCTGAGTACATAAGTGGGATGTCACCTCTTTTAAAATTTATAAAATCTCAAGTTATTTTATTACTCAATTTATTCAAAATAATCGATTCGATAGCGAAATAATCAAATTAGTTCATTTTCATGATATTGAAACCTCAACAGTAATAAAAATACTCCATAACATGTGATCCAACATAAGTATAAAAGTAAGATACGTAACAAATGAAATAATTCAAAACATAACAAATTCTCAATAATCTCGTGTTACGTATCAGAGCGATTCTTAAGACTTGATCAAATAACACTCTCTCCAAGCACTACTCGGATATCTATACTCCCCGAGGAGCACAGACACAATAACACAAAAGGGGTGAGAATTACATTTAATAAATATATGGTGAATATCACGTACTAAGAAGTAGTAATTCACACATCACACAATACTTTGCAACACAATCCATCATTCACATAATACGACATCAATTCAATAATAATGCAATGCAATGAGACCGACATTAACTCAATGCATGTGGTACCATCAGGGCATAAGCCTCCAACACAGTGTCTATTGGGCAACAACAGGGCATAAGCCCTCAACAAAACGTTATTACAGGCCAACAACAGGACGTAAGCTCTCACAAATGAAATGTATACATTATCAACATGCAACAACGCAACTTTATGACAACAAGGCATAAGCCTTCTACATTCGCTAATAAGGCCACCACATCATTATCATCATGAATATAAATAAGCAGTTCATACAAAGTCTCATGGTTTAATTCCAATTTACATTACTAGTACTCTCCCTATATTTATCTAAGTTATACTAGTCATTAGGAATCACGAGAAACTGCACTGCATGCAAAAACGGGAAAGAAATCGCGAAAATGGGACTTACTACACCTCAGTCTGCCCATACGCGTATGACCTTGTCCCATACGCGTATGGCTCCTTTCTCCTCCATTCCATACGCGTATCATATGCGTTCTGCTCCAGCACTCAGGCCTCATACGCGTACCATACACGTACGTCCAGAGGGGTTTTCCTTCTCGAAATCCTCTCAAACTCCCCATATGTGTGCGACCATCCCATACATGTTTTACCTCCCCTTTATACGCGTATCATACACATACCGACAGAAGGTCGTGCCGGCACGGATGACCCCACATCCCCCATACGCGTACCATACGTGTATGGTCAGTCTGCTACATCAAAATTTCTACTATCGCACCAGAATAATTTCCACTCGTTTTGAGCACTTTCAACCTCCTAATTTGGGTCCAAAACAGTGTTTTTACACATAATAATTCATAGACTTCATCTAATTTCGTTATCTTACATTTTTACAACAATTTCTACCTCTAATTCTCCAATTTTCGTCATAATCTTAGATCTACAATTTTTCAGTTTTAGAATTTCATGGACAATACAACAACAGTAAAATCAACAACACCAACACACTCATGGGATCATGAGATTCACGAATTTCCCATACAATCACATAGAAACAACATAAAATCAAATAAAGAAGAACATTCTTCAATTGTTCATGAAATTTAAATAGGGGAAGGAACCATCACTACCCTCTCATGTTAATATCACCATTTAGAGAACTCATTCACCCCCCTTATCTTAATTTGCAACCTTGATTCTTCAATAATGGAGGAATCTCTCTCTTTCCCTAGTTTTTCTCTTCTCTATTTCTACGCAACAACAAATTCTCATAATTGTTGTAACCCTTTCCTAATTATATTTTATTATTACTAATAGTAACTAATAATAATAATATTAATAATAACTATACTATTAATAATAATAATAGTATTGCCCCCTTCAATTTTTATTATTATCAATATTTCACCATATACTTCTAATTATTTAATCAAAATTAAGTTTTCACATATCCTTAATTATGTCAATATAATTTAAATTCAACAAATAACGACTAAATAATTAAATGGGAAATCATATAATTTTCCACTTTGATAGCTATACATATACCAAACAAGAATTATACACCAATGTCCACATTTTTAAGCATGTTTAATTCTTACTAGCTTCTGGTTTATTTTTATTATATAACATTAGATGTGGCAATTAAGATCTCTGGTTGACACCTTAGAGCATTTATAGGAGAACTAATTTTGATTTTTTTAGTTATTTTTGTGAGACTAAATTAATAATTTAAGTAACATTTAAGCAATTTAAGTCAATTTTACTGATACGTCAAAACAAACAAAAAAGACAATTTTACTTTAATGATGATTTCAATAAGTAATATATATTTAACCCATTCAATTCATATTTGGCTCCACTAATTATCAAGATTAATATTATTTAACGAAACGTAACACATTTTTTTATTGCTTCATGAACTACCTTATTACACAAAAATTTAAGCAACAAGAATGCCACATGTATCTACTACAATACTAAAATTAAGTTCCAAAACTTATATATCCACGTATACATTAGATAATTTCCACTAAAAATATAAAAGCAACAACTGTTATGGATTCTCTCCCGTCACATAACCGTCCAGTAAAGTCCATGCAATAAAAAATTAAAAAACATAAAAAATATGAAGTGGTGGAGATTTAAAGGTGCAGATGTCGATTGCACCTCCTCTAATTAAATCTACAGTGGAGTTGATCCTTTCCCAAGATCAATAGCTTTGTGCTAGTTGTACCTCTTGTGAATTTGAAATCTTGTTCAAACCAATAAAAATAAGGGTACTACTTCATTACCCTACTAAATTTAATATATGTGAGATATGTCTCACATATATTGGTGATTAATTATATCATTTGTCATGTCATTGATAGACGTGGTAGGAGATATGACAGGGTGTATAGGAGGACACATAAGAAGAGAGATATAGGGAATAATTCAACTCACAACTAATATAGGTTATGAGCACATGCGAAGTGCCAGGTGACAAAGCGAAGCACATGGAAAGTGTCAAGTGGCAGAGAGGAGAGAGAATTCAGATATGAGGGGATAAAGGCAAAAAACACTACTACAAAAGTACATTTCATAACGCCATCAAATTTTATTTCACCACGATCAAAAGATTTACCGTGGTAGAATCTATTTAATTAGGTGCTTTTCTTTTATTTTTATTTTTAAGCCCACTTTTCACCACGGTTGGAACTTTTAACCGTGGTGAAAAGTGATGCATGGTCATGAGTTTGGATTTTGCTGTTGTTGTTGTTCTACTACTATATTTTTTATATTTTATTAAAATACATACAACAATGGTTGTTTAATACAATTGTTGTTGTATGTAGCGCATGATCATGAGTTTGAATCTTGTTGTTGTTGTTCTACTGCTACATTTTTTATAATTTATTAAAATACATACAACAACGGTTGTTTAATACAATTGTTGTTCTATGTAGCGTGTTTATTGAGTTTCTTCATCGTCCTTAAACAAATCTTGACTGTCCATTTAGTGATTATCAAAGCTCAAGACAATACCATTAGTGATCCGCGTAAAACCTAAAACTTAGACGAACTTCATCTTCTAAACATCATCTTTCTTTTACAAAACATTATTTCTCAACTAAACCAAACTTGAAAATATCGTTTCTTTCATAAACAAAACTCGAAAACATCATATCTTTCATTAACAAATTTTAGAACTTCATCATCTCTTCTCCAACTTAAATGAGACAAGGAAAGTATGGATTCAAGTTAGCAATGTTAGTTGTTGTTGTTGTTTTTTTTGTTGTTATTATTGTTGTTGTTCTTGTTCTTCTTGTTTTTGTTGTTGTTATTATTGTTGTTCGTGTTGTTGTTTTGTTGTTGTTCTTCTTGTTGTTGTTGTTGTTGTTGTTCTTGTTCTTGTTCTTGTTGTTCTTGTTGTTGTTGTTGTTATTGTTATTGTTCTTCTTCTTCTTTTTTTTGTTGTTATTCTTGTTGTTGTTGTTGTACTGCTGTATTTATTTTATTTTATTAAAATACATACAACAACAATTGTTTAATATAATTATGGTTGTATGTATCACGCTATCCAATTTACTATCACGAATAATAGATCGTAATTGTAAATAACCCACTTATAACCACACCCTACCTAACAACGATTGTTCAACCATTATTATAGGTATTTTGCAACCGTTGTTATATGTGTTTTTTGTAGTAGTGAAGTAATGTTAGTGTGTCAGTAGGGATGATTTTAGTATTCATTTCCCTGGGAGAGATAAGGCCTCTCGAAGAGCTTGCTTCTTTTTCTATACTTTTCATTCCTTTTCCATGATATGTTTATGTACTTTGCTAGATCCCATATGAACTCTAGTATTATTCCATAAATAATATTGATCATATTCCCCGTTGTTTGATTACTTATTTCACTAGATTACAAAATTTGTCCTATCAATTTGGTATCTAGAGTCTTGGTTGTGTTTTCTAGTGGATGGTCGTTACGAGAAGCATTATGGAGAATTGTATTGATCTGATAGAACAATGGATGGGTAACATGGAAACATCAATGGAATAGATTCATCAGCTCGTCTTGGACCGATAATCACGACCTTATATCATTATTGATTAAATACATCATTCAAGAGAAA